TTCAATGACAAGAAACATGACATTTTTCTGTCTATAGACGTCTGAACCATTACTAATTTTTTCAAGGTATAAGTTACTCTGGCTTTGTATTTGTGAATCCTATCAACAAACTTGGGATCCTCATTCTCAAAATACATGTATTCTATTTTTATTTTGGCTTGATCTTACACCCTGATTCTTTCCAGTCTGCATTTGCTTTCAGATCTTTTTAGGTCAGATGCTCCAATTTATGAAGATTTGAGCTAATTAGAACTGCATAATACCTATGAATACTTATGCCATTCCCACATTATAGTATATCACATTGCCTTTTACACAAGCAAGGGAAAGTGGGCACCACTATCAGCCACTCATGGAGTGACTTCCTCTTTGTTTCAGAATACATCGCATTCTATTCATGACTTGTGACCATCTGAAACAAAGATGGACTGAAGTAACTGGTATCAGTCTGTAAGGTTTGTGTACCTGCTCCAGCAATCAAGTTAAAAAGATTCCATAAAGCACAGTTTCTTTTTTGTTGTCTGAGAAATGAAATTGAAGCAGAAATTCTAATGTTTTATTTCCACATCGTTATAGATACTCTGGCACCCAGATTTGGAGCCCCCTGGAAATTCTGTAGCCTTCTCTAGGATTCTTCCTAACTCTTAGATGTGACCATAAAATATAGAGTGTCACTCTACCCTTGACTCCATGAGGAAAAGCCTCCATATGACACTGCCATTCAGAGGCCTCATAGTCACTTTAAATTTCATAATACTTTGAAAAATTGCCTCTTTACAGACCAACAAAAGATGCACTTGCTCCAAGGTATTGAGCTGTATGTGTTTCCCAGGAGGTAATGCTCCATGTTAGTGTCTCCTTGGTATGTTATCCTAAATAATATACCAGTTACTCACAGTGTGATTTATCTTGAAGCACTCACCACCCACATCATAAAAGATCACTGAATAAAATGAAAATGTGGTATAAACAGCCTAAAGTATTTTGAACAACCTCCTACTAATTGGTCACTGAAATTTAAGCAGACTTGATTTCAAAAAGAATCCCAAGGCAATTTTGGCGCTTCAAAAAAGGTGACTTTTATATAGTATTTTAGAAAATGAACCCATGAGTTTGAGCCATTTCAAAAGTGTCTGATTTTTCTGAGTGTATATATCCTCCTTGGAAACTGCATTAACTTTTATATTCAGAAAACATTTAAAGAAACTCAGGTGGATATGTGTTTAAGAACAAAACAATGATCTTTATTCCACAAGAAGAAATTCTCAAAGGTTAACGTTTCAAGAGGTAACGTAGAACATAATTTGTAATTAAAGTATGAGATATAGATCAGTGAGATGGGTCAGAAGTTGCAGGCACTTGCCCCCCAAGAAGACAGGCCTGATGACCTGAGTTTGACCCAAAAGCCACATAAAGGTGGAAGGAAAGAACTGGCTTCACAAAGTTGTCCTCAGATTTCCACACTCCCAACCTGCCACATGTACCCCCAACACATCTTGTATACACGCACACACACATACAGACAATAGTAACAAACGTTTTCAGGTATGAGACACTTCAAATGATATACTCTCAATTTTAATTGACTTAGAGACTACAGTGATAATTATAGTTTTAAATTAATATAAAAAGTTAAAATTTTGAATGAATGGTTTGGTTTGTCAGAAACACATTATATTTTTTTTCTGTATGTATGTGTGCTTGTGTGTATAAGTTATTTGATGAGACCATAGAAGTGATCTGTGGATTAGGGTGTAAATTAAATACATGTATCTGACTTTATGTGCATACAAGTAACTGACAGTTGTGTCTGCTAAAGAATGAGGCAGTAATACCAGGCAATTGCATGACCAGTATAAAAAGAGAAATACCACTGCTATGCTTACCATCAACATCTCTAAAGATTAAAGAAAGTAAAATATAAGAATTCCAAACAGTATCAATTGATAGTTACAAAATTGAGCTTATGTTTTATCCCAGTTTATAATCTATTTCCTCATGGATTCTTAATTTTTAACTGTTAAATTAAGGCAGTAGTAATTTTTGTTTTGTTTCTTTCACACATACAAAGAAAACTGAATATCCTGATCTTGCGTGGCCATTGAGATTCCGCATCCTGCATGAAATTGCTCTTGGTGTAAATTACCTGCACAATATGAACCCTCCTCTACTTCATCATGACTTAAAGACTCAGAACATCTTGTTGGATAATGAATTTCATGTTAAGGTAATTGCTTTGGAAAAAAACTTTCTCTGGGTCTTCGTTCTTAATAATTCTGAAAAATATTTTTGCTGTTTTTGTTTTGTTTTTCAAGACAGGGTTTCTCTGTGTGGCTTTAGAGCCTATTCTGGCACTCGCTCTGTAGACCAGGCTGGCCTCTGCCTCCCAAGTGCTAGGATTCCACCAATGCCCAGCTCTGAAAAATATTTTTAGTAGTGTCTTAATTTCTATCTTCAGTTCCCATGCAGCTTGGGGCTGGAAAACTCAGCTGGCTGGGTGAAGGGAAGTATCTCAGGCTGTGAAGATCCCTGAGGAAGAAGCTCCACTTCCTGGGTTTTGAGCACACTGCCAGCATTGGCCCTAGGACTAGGGGAAGGCTCTGCCACTCCTATGGGTCTGAGACATTTGGTCCTTGACATGGCCTTGCCTATGTCAGCAGTATTCATTCACCCAGGGCTTCCTTGGCTCTCCGTTCCAGCCCTTTCTTGCAATGGTTCAGTTATTCTTTGTTGTTGGTTTGTATGAGGAAGGGTCTTATCCCAGACTGTCCTGGAACTCAAGAAAATCCTCCTGTCTAGGCCTTCTCAGTGCTGGGATTAAAGGTGTATGCCACCACCCCCGGAGTAAGGCTAGGTTATTCTTGAGCTGTAGAATTTGAAACAAAATAGCAATTCATTGTGTTTCTTAGTTAAAACTGTCACAACAGTTTTCCTTGTTTTAGTGTCTGTTTTGAAATTAGTGTGGAGTCACAAGATATTATAAAGATAACAATTCCCTACCTAATTAGATACAGCCTTCAGACCGGAAACGGGACAGGAATGGGTGATTTTAAACACCTTGTTGTGTGCTTCCTTGCCATCCATATAGCCTTTTCAGTGAAAAGCTTCTTGAATGAGCCTATTTTCTAATTAGGTTTTTCATTTTTACCACTCAGTTTTAAGAACCCTGTATATATACTTTTTTAAAATATGAGTCCTTCATTCATCAGATATATTTCTTTTCAAATACTTCTCCACAACTTTTACTATTATCCATGTGTTTGTGATTGTACTGAATCGTGAAGGATGTGTATGTCCTGGTGTGTGCACATGTGTGTAAACATCAGCCTTACTGGCTGGCTAATGACAGGATCCACCTGTCTCCAGTTCTCCAGCGCTTGGATTACATCCTGCCACGCCTGGATGTTTTATGTTGGTTCTGAGACATTAAGCTCAGGTTATATCATGTTTGCCCAGCAGTGCTTTACCACTGAGCCATATCCTGGGCCTATTTTTATCCTTTCAACAAAACCTGTCACCAAGAAAAAAATTTATCTTTGATGAAGTCCAATTTATCGCTTTTGTCCCTTATGTGTCATGCTTTTGCTATCGTTTGTGAGCTCTGATCCCTAAACTCTAGGTACTGACCATTTTCCTCTATGTTACCTTCTAAGGCTTCTTAGTATTATGCTTAGTGTTATGCTGACATCTCATGCTTTGAAGTTGTCTTTGTGTAAAGGGCAAGGGATGCTGTGACCCTGTATACAATGGGGGAACTGAAATGAGGGTTGACTGCTGAGTAATAAATACTAAATGCAACTCACTTTATTCCTATATAGTATTTTATATACCGATTTCTGTAGTATACATAGAAGATTTTAAATATTAAAAAATTTTCAAAGAAATTCCTATTTCTCCATTATTTAATAGAGAAGTTGTAACAGTAGGAAAATGCAACACAAAAATATGAGACTAAGTAAGTTAAAAAATTTACTGAATAAATGTCCTTTTTCTTGAAATAAAATGGTAGTTTGAGAAGAGAAGGAAAGGGCAAGCTTGTGGCCCTGCATTCCTGAGAGGGACTGACTGAGGTATCCCATTTGACCTGATGGTCAGTGGAACTCTGCCCCTAGAGTAGTTACTCCATAGCAGAGGACACAGCATCTTTATGTGTGTAGCTGAGGCTTTCCTAAACAATCCGACTTCCTTCCTATTGCTTTCACCCATTAGTTCTACCTCACGTTTTATTGATAAATTTAATAAATTCTTCTTCAGCACAACAGCCATTCTAATATTTAGAGACAGCAACAATGCCCCTGCTTCTCATATTCCTTTTCTCCACTAAATGGCTTTACCTTCTTCAGTCTTTGTTATTGGGAGTTTTAGTTCCTTGTGTTACTTGAATGCATGCTTTAGTGTTAATCACAACTTCTGATCCTGAGAACTGAACAAAAGTCACCTGACATAACCTGATGAATGCAGAGTTGACTCAGACGATGACTTTTGGAGTCCTAGATACTTACTAATAAGCTTCTTGGCCAGGCATGGTAGTCGAATGCTGCCTATAATTCCAGCACCTGTGAGGTGCAGGTCGGGGGATCAAGCATTCAAGGCCAGACTTGGCTGCATATTGCCTCTGAGACCAATCTGACTGCATGAGACCCTGTCACAAGAAAAGAGAAAAAAGGCAAGATTTTAGTAATTAACCAGTTGCCCCAAGGAGTCATGCTACTCAAAGTCAGCCAGAGGTCGTTTCTTTTTGATGTTTTTGTTGTCGTTCTTGATGATTTCATAGATTATCATTTAAGCTACCTCCTTATTGTGTACTTTTTAGAATTCCTTTTTTACAGTGTTAGTTAGTATGGGAATAAGACTTCAGCCTCCCTTAGCAGAGCAGCACACCATAGCCCTTAGAACCTCCTGAACATGAGTGCCAGTCCTTTTGTTAATCCACAATTTTGGAAAACCATCCTTCAGCTTCTTAGGGATGTTCTGGTGGGTACCATTATTCTTTCTCAAGACTCCTGAAGGAGTACTTGCTCGACTGCTTCTCCCAAGTGTCCTCATAGCGTACTCCATCAGGAACAGTCTTTCTACCACATCCCACCTAGGTCTTCTCTGTGTCCTACACATTATGCTTCCCCATGATATTTCTCACCAGCTGACTTGACTTTCTTAACTCACATGATGAATCTGAGTAGTCCAGTTTGAATGGTGTGACTGACTGACTGGTCACACCTATTTCCTTTTCTTGTGAAAGAGTCTCCTGCAGACCAGTCCAGCTGGTCAGTTAGACTTAAGTTTCATGAAGAAATAAATTTAGCCTGGACTGTTACCTACCACATGCCATATAGAGGCATCCCATAATTAAATTAAGTGAGCTAATAGATTAATTTCAGATCTTCTGCATATAGTAAATGCATCTGCTCAGTTAATAGTCAAATATGTTATTGTGTAAATAAAACAAAATATCTTTTGTAGATACAAACTTTTAAGTTGGTGGTATGGGAGCAATGCTACCAGAGAAATTTATCTTCTTTTATTGTGGGACAACTCTGTTATGCGAGATGTGAAATTGTGCATTGATGTTTTTTGTTGTTCTGTTCTTGTTCTGTTTTTTTTGTTTGTTTGTTTTTTTGTTTTTCAAGACAGGGTTTCTCTGTGTAGCCCTGACTGCCATAGTTCCATCTGTAGACAGGCTGGCCTCTGCCTCCCAAGTGCTGGGATTGAAGGCATGTACCACCATTGCCTGGCGAGTACTGGTCTTTGTAATTTGCTTTTCATAAATTCATGCTTACTTCTGCATTTTCTAATTACTTTTAAAGTTTCCTTTTTGATAACTTAAAGTACCCCTTTACAAATTCTCCTAAAGGCTTTTTCATGAGGGTTTAAGAATAGGTTCTTTTTTTCCATTTGTACAGAGGGTAACGCACTATATTAAATATGTAAGGTCTTAAAAAAAAAAAAAAAAAAAAAGAAGGGATTTTGAGAGTCCATCCCTTGTGAAGGTATGCTCTCTTGACCTGGACACATTGGGTAAACACATCCTATGCCTGGCCCAGGATGATGTGGTAGACTTTGGGGAGCCCCTTTTGAGGGCCTTACCCTGCCTGGGGAGTAGAGTGAGGATGGCTGGGGCAAGTGGGATGTTGGGGGGGGTGCGGGGAGGGAGAAGGGAGAAGGGATTGACATCTGAAGCAAGCTTGTTCCTAATTTGAACTAATAAAATAAAATTAAGTTAAAAAAATTTAAAAATGCCCTATAAACAGGGCTATAGGCAAGCCTGTAGCGCATTTTCTTAATTAGTGATTAATGGGGGAGGGCCCAGACCATGGGGGGGGCACTCCTGGGATGGTGGTCCTGGTTCTGTAAGAAAGCAGACCAAGCAAGCCATGAGAAACAGGGCAGTAAGCAGCACCCCTCCAGGGCCTCTGCATCAGCTCCTCGCTCCAGGTTCCTATCCTGACTTCCTTTGATAATGAACTGTGATTCGGAAGAGTAAGCAAATAAACCTTTTCCTCCAGGAAAAAAAAAAAGAATAGGCTCTTAATAGGATATAGACTTGCAAAGTCACATTTTTCTCCTTTTTTAAATTCAGACATTAGTTTTTAAATGTTTTTGTTTTCAATTTATAAATAATTTCTATACATGTAAATGGAATACAGTATGCTAATTTAGCACACGAATACATTAATAATAGTGGCTAGCTCACATGGATAGTCTGTCATGTGACAGATGCTCTTCTGAATAATTCCCTAGAAGAACTAGTTGGAATTATCTCAACACATTTCTATTGGATTCATTATCCCCAGTTCCAGATGAATAATGTAGGACACAGAGAAATTAAACAATTTCCTCAGGGCCCCACAATCAATTAAGTGGTAGAATTACACTGTAAATTGAAATAACCTCAACTCTAGAACCCAGTGTTCATAACTGAAGTTTCATTGCCTTTGGAACTAGCCAGATCTGATGTTCCATTGTTCTCATTTATTGTCTCTTAAGCCTATAGTAAATCTACGAAACACTTGTGCACTCTATTTTTGATGGTCTGGGGGCTTAATGTTTATTTCATTCATCTAAACACAGATATAAATTAATTCTTCTAATAAAAAAATACAAAAACACGAGATTAAATACTCAAAATACCAGTTGTCCTAGATAGAGCCCATCCTACTCTGTTAACTTATTCAGTATGTATTATAAGTCTACGTAATTTAAATGTCTTTAAAGTTTTCTCATACTCTCATCCTTGCCTATTAAATAATATTTCTGGTCATACATTTTACCTTTTAATTTTAAAAAGTAAGGTACCTTTTAACATTAAGAAAGCTATATAACCTATATAAATTACAACAAAAAATAAAGCTGTAAAAGACATAAGGGACACTCACGGTGTGATATGTGCCATCCAAAGTGACTCTTAAAAGTAAGCATAAAATACATAATGGTGACTTTTACTATTAGAAGATTTTATGTACTTTAAAACTTAATGACACCACTTTTAGAACAAGAATAATACCATATAAACCCGGGCTGGCAAACTGTTCAGCTCTACAAGTGCTTGCTACCAAGTCTGATGACTGAAGCTCCATCCCCAGAACCCATGGGATGGAAGGAGAGAACTGGCTTCTGAAGCTGCCCTCTGACCACACCCTTACACGCCCATACACAAATGAATAAATTTAACAAAAAGAGTTATTAAATGACCATTTCTAAGCAATGTTCAGTCTAGTGTATGGCATACGAGGAGCAATAGTCGATGACAGGGAGACTGGAAAGTACACCCTAAAAAACATTACTCAGATTCTAGAAACAATTAGTTTCCCTTAAAAATGTGTAATATTCTGCTACAAATTTGATTAAATGTATATTACATCTAGAGTTACTGGGGATAGCACTGTAGTATTTAATTTGTTAAGAGGCTGTGGAATATTAGTAGTATATTACTTTTCTTGGGTCTGATAGCCATTATAAACGCAATATATGAAAACAAAGGCAGTTAACTTTTGGACATTTTAAAGAAAAAAGGATAATTTTAATTCAAGTCTTTCATCTTATAGATTGCAGATTTTGGTTTATCAAAATGGCGCATGATGTCACTCTCTCAATCACGAAACAGCAAATCTGCCCCCGAAGGAGGAACGATCATCTATATGCCACCCGAGAACTATGAACCTGGACAGAAATCCAGAGCCAGTGTGAAGCATGATATATACAGGTACTGAGCATTGCTTTTGTTTTATCAGAAATATAAGATTAATCAGCCAAAATTTTCCAACGACATTTTATAATGAAATTTTCTTCTAATTACTTATAATGAAAATAAATTAGAGACCACAATGGCTGATATTTTTCAAATTAGACATTTTTGCTTTAAGTGATTTCAACGTTGTTTAAAGATATGAAGTTATATATTTTTCCCTATGAATATGTAGCAGTGCTCAAAGGTTTTCAGCGTAAGTTACTTGGGAAAGCATGGGCAAACAGGAGTCTATAACATTTAGTCACTATTACTTATACATTACTCACTTTTAAAGAGAGTTAAACAAACTGTTAAACCTATTAGGGATGTTTTTATTTAAATCATCCCTAATGTTTATATATGGATGGATCCTTTATACAGTGAACCAATGTGTTTAATAGAATTGTGGTTTTATGTTTCATTTACAGCTAATTATAACCTCACAGTATAGTAATTAAGCATAATGTTTTTAATATTGCTTCTTTGGCCAGAGTAAAGGAGGATGATAATTTATTATGCACAGAATTATAGCGTGGGAGCTTTTACCTCATGTGTAATTCACATCTGTCTCTTTAACCTGCCAAGGAATGTAAATTATTTTAAATCCATGCTATAGCGCTTTCAAACAACTTTTGCTATCTTTAATAAATTAACATAAAAATGAAGATGTTTTAGTAGTAAATGATATGTCTTGACTAGAAAATTGCATAATCAGCTTATATAACCCTTTTGTCAAAAAAAGAATTTTTTTACTCCTTATTAAATCTGTGGCAGCCAGTTCATGTCAGTGAGCATCTAGGACAAGTATCTGTCACATTCATGTCATTGTACAAAGAAGGTTTCTTCTTCCATTGTTTCCGTATATCCTTAGTTCATCTAAGTGAGGTGCCCAGTGAGAAGGAACAGAACGGATTTGTTTCTGCTACATGAAGACTACATAGTCCAGATGGTTTGAGTCTATAAAGACAGACCGTTTGGTTTTTTTGTTTGTTTTGTTTTTTCCTGGATTGAGAGATCTTGTGGTTTCTTTCATTGTGTCTGTTTACACACTGAACTACACTGATTGATTTGCAAGTGTTGAACCAACCTTGCATACCTGAGATGAAACCAGCTTGGTCAAGGTATATGATCTGCTTGATGTGTTTTTGAATTTGATTTGCAAGAGTTTTATTTAGAGTTTATGCATTTATGTTCATGGAGGAAACTGCACAGTAGTTTTCTTTTTCTATGGTTTTCCTATCTAGTGTTGGTTTCAGTGCAATGTTGGCTTCATGGAATGAGTTTGGTAGTGTTGCCTTCCTTTCCATCTTATAAAACAGTTGGAAGAAGACTGGTGTAGAAAACCATTGGTGCGTGCCTTTAATCCCAGTATCCAGGAGGTAAAGGCAGGTAGCTCTTTCTGAGTTCAAACC